GATACCTAGATACACGATGATGACGAAGACGACGATGATGATGGTGACGATGATGGCGTATAAGAAGATGATGACGATAAAGATGATTTTAATGGTGAAAATGATGAAGATGATGACGGAAAATATAAAAAGAAGTAGTGATTATGACTTGAATTTAAGGGAACAAAGACAGGATAAAATAACGCCTTATGATGAAATCGTACATCAAATAACAATGCAACACCTCTATGCAACACCACCAATGATATTATTATATGACAGCAATAGTGATATATATAATATTATATTATATCATGATAGCATTAAAATATTTATTCTTAGTAAAAGATGATATCAATGGAGTTAAATGCTGCTCCAGATTTCTGTCTTCCCTTCTCTACTTATAATAAATTTCATTAATATTTAAAAATTATGAATCAATTAACGAGACAGTTTTTTTCAAAAAACTTTATCAGGGCTGACACGTTTGGTTGTAATTTAGTTTAATAAAAAATAAATTAAAACGACAGAGAAAAACCACGCTTTAATTTCTAATTATACTTAAAAAATGAAATTATCACAAAAAGAAACAATTATCCTCTATCTGGAAACGAAACTTTCTTGAATGTTTAGAAGTAAAAAATCTTTCAAGTGATTTAGAATTATAATAATTTTTAATTATAGTAACAATAATGTAAAATAATAATAATAATCTTGAATAATAATAATAATAATCTAGAATAATAATAATAATAATAAAATAATAACTTAGAATAATAATAAACTGCTGGCTGTGCACATGCCATAATAAAAACATTGATGAAGTCTTATAATAGTTTTAACCAGTTTATTTCTATAATAAAATATTCCTACTCCTAAACTTGAAATGGGGGTTGTTGCCCCTCTCCAGCCCTCTGAACACGGCCCTGGGCATCATGTTCCCTATTAATATTACATATCCTTCCATTGAATACTGTTGCTAGCATTTTACAAATTTTTCAAATGGCAATTATAACAATAATAATAACGATGATGATAACTATGATAATGATGATGATGATAATAACAATAATTATGATGATAACAATGATGATGATAACGATAATGGTGATGATGATAATGACGACGATGATTATGATGTTGATGACGACCTTCAAGAGAGAACGATCCAACCGGAAGATGGATGAATAACTGACTTGCTGGTTTATATATACATCGCACGTATATGAATACATCTCTCTGTGTGTGTGTGTGTGTGTGTGTGTGTGTGTGTGTGTGTGTGGTGTATGTTTGTGGCGTGTGTGCATGTGTGTTGTGTGTTTATACAAATACGGAATTTATGGGAATTATAGGTTATAGATAGTATTTAAAAAAGCGGTAATATACAATACAATACAAATACATTATACAGATATACATATATATATACATACATATATATATATATATATATATATATATATCTTTATCTTTATTTCTATATGTCGCAATATACACACATATACATACGCGCATTTGTTTGTAGATGTGTATGTGTGTGTGTTTGTTTGTGTATGTGTGTGTGTGTGTGTGTGTGTGTGCGTGCGTGTAGTAATAAGCAATAAAGCAATATAAATCTATCTGTTAATACGCTTTTACCTTTTCTTTCGCAAAGATAGATTATTTCTGTCTGCAGCACATAACATATACGCGAACCAATATTGCTTCTCTCACCCACATACACGCACGCATACACGCATACGTACTCATATACATAACCCTACACACACAAACATACTTGAAAACATCCACACATAACTCTACACACACAAACATACTTGTGTGTGTGTGTGTGTGTGTGTGTGTGTGTGTTACAAACATACAAAAACATCCATCTAAATTCAAACACAATCACAGGCAAAGACGCGAGCACACGCACGCACACACGCGCAAACACATCTTCATACATTAAAAACATTTATAATCACAAAACTACTCATACATACACACATTAACACATCTTCATACATACAAAACATTTATAATCACAAAACTACACATACAGACACACATTAACACATCTTCATACATAAAAAACATTTATACTCACAAAACTACACATACAGACACATTAACGCAAACAAACAAACATACAAACACAAAGCAACAAACACATAATACAAAACATCCCATTTCACCCTCCCTACATTCGTTTGATCATCATTTCTATGGAAGCATAAACTGCAAAAATTATAAAAAAAAGTCATTTCATCATCGTGATCATCATCATCGTCACTTTTGATGTTATCATCATCGCTAGTATCATCATTGCTGATATCATCATCATTATCATCATCGTCGTCGTCGTCGTCATCATCATTATCGTCGTCGTCATCATCATCAACATCATCATCATTCTCATTATTATTATTATCATCATCATCATCATCATGACATCAGCATCATCATCATGACATCAGCATCATCATCATTATCATAACTTACCATCATCATCGTCATCATCATCATAATCTCTGTTATTTTTCACACCTACGCCTCTTATCGTCCTAATTATATTTTACAACGTGGCTGCACATATTATCACTTTGCCGTTGTCTCAAAAAACATTATGCTCATCATTTTCATCATCATCTTCATCATCCTAATTATTATTATTATTATTATTATTATTATCATCATCGTCATTACTATTATCCTCCTTATTTTTTTTTCAAATGTTTGTCCATTTTTTAGATGGTCATCTTATGGTGATTAAGTGAGTGAAGCAGGCATAGAAATAAGTTGTATTTCCTTTCAATTTATTTAGTTGATGTCGAACTACTGTTGACATATTTTAAACCGTTGGAGACGATTTTTTTTTTGAAGAAATCGTCAAAAATGAAGACATGATACGTCAGTGCTCCAACATTTCCAATCATGCCAGCAGGCTGCAAATATGAATATGGAAGACGAGGTAAATGGAGCAGCACACGCTAAGATTGAGAAGGAGGAAAGCTATTGGCCTCAAATTAAAATTTTTTTCATATGGACAAAAATTTAATTTTTTTCCTGTAAATATTCTCAAAGGTTTTTTCCATACACTCTTCTTACTAGGCTCAGAGGAATGAAGGTCGCACAAACAGCGTATAGGAATACGTGCTAAATAGACGCATCACACGCGAAGCATGTGGTAAAAAATATGTTTAAATCATAGCATATTTTTTATCACATGAGAAAAAAGAACAAGAGCTGTCAATATTAATTGGGCAATCAAGAGCTACGATCAACCAAAGAAGAAAAAGACCGTGGAGTCTTCTTTTACGGTGACTCCATCAAGACAGTGTGCAATTGCAGCGGCTAAAGCAAATCAAATTTTTCGATTTATTAAAAAAAACAGTGGTCAGCCTTGAGAAGTCGATAATTATAAATTTGTATAAAATTTTAGTTTGCCCCCATCTGGAATACTCTGTCCAGGTGAAGAGTCAAAATTTGTAAAAAGATAAAGACATTTTTGAGAAGTTGCAGCAAAGAGCAATAAAGATGACCAAAGGTGTCCTGGGAAACTTCAATACGATGAGAGATTGAGAAAATGTGGACTGACTGCTCTAGAGCGAAGAAAATGAAGGGGCAATATAAAACGGACATACAAACTGATTACTTGAAAAGAGGATGCCCGGTTTACCAAATTCTTCCAAACAGAGACTAGAAGGGAACCAAAAAGAGGTCATAGATACAAGTTTTTAAGAAATCAGAAAATCAAATCAGGCAAAGATATTTTATTGTGGTAAACACCTAAAATGGGCTGGATGACGAAACCATTTTTGTGGAATCAACCAACAGTTTTAAGATCAAACTTGGAGAGATAGGAGTTTTTCCACAGACACTAGTCAACTGAGCTGCTTTAAACCCCGTTACGTTAATTTGCTCAAAAATACTTTCAGGTTTTTTTACAAAAACGTTGTTGTTTGCACCATCCAGTGTTAAATTTCATTTTTCTATTTGAAAAAACTAATAAACAAAATGTTTAGTGTTGTTATGAATTTAAAAAAGTATATTAGGACATGTGTCAGCAAATAGGACAGAAACTTGATTTGAAACTCTTTAAAAATTTGGCAAGAGAGCAAGCAATCTTAAAGCAACTTTCAACTTTAATGTCATTTAATAATGAAATAGTTTAAATTTTTTTTAATCTTAACCACATTATTGAATTAATTACAATCCTTTGATGAATGAAAACATTAATCTTCATGTAGTTCATTTCATTCATTGACATTTGTTTCCATCTACCAGTTCTACATCAAATGATAAGTCAGTAATCATTTTAAATCGTAAATTCAGTGCGTAATGAATAAAATTTGAAACAATCAAATTTCTTAATCATTCCACCAACCAATGAGATTCTTCCTGCAGTAAATGTAGCAGTATTTGCAGTCGGTTGAATCGGCAATCCAGCTAGCAGCAGTAGACAGGGGAGCTGGAGAATCGTTGCTGGATGGCCAGATCGCAAGGTGACTGGCAGGCCAGAGTGAATCGTTATAACTGGTTTTGTTCCAAACATCTTAATAGTTTCTGCTGCATCTCCAAGTTTTGTTGGTCAGGTGGTCAGGATGTAGTTGTCCGGTGTGCTGGTTATGAAACCACCTGTGTTTGTGTGTTTGTGTGTGTGGAGGGGGGGAGGTGTAGGGTCAGTAGGGATTGCTTGGATTAAATTTCAATAGTCTAAACATTTTTAAAGTGATCTGTTATAATAAAAAATAGTATGAGTTAATTTTTTACCATAATAAGCGTTGTTGTAAGTTTTGAGAGCAATAACGTAAATGTATTATACGTGTCAAGTAGGTTCCAAACATTTGCGTGTGGATAATTCAAAGCAAGAGATATGCTCATGCCGTTGATGTAAAATTCTCGAAGTTCGTTGTCCACAGTAATATTTAGGACAGTTCGTTGTCTACAGTAATAGTAAAGGATTCTATTGGTCCAGGTTTATCTTATGATTTTTTTGTGAAAATAGCTTATTAATAATTTTTCTTAAAAGACAGTGCTTGAAAATTAAAACTTTTACCGTGTTTTAAATAATACTGGCAGCCAGGTAGTACAGAGAAGTTGTTCAACGTTTGCACTGATTGGTGGCATTGAAGAAGTTGTAAGCCACACAGCTGTCTGTTTGTGAACATCTCATTGAACACAACATGAGGGCCTCTAAAAACGAGAACGTGGACCAGCTCCTGTCCTCAATCGCTGGATCGCACGAACAAAAATCTACATTACCTTCTTCAAATCTTTGAAAACAAGTTTTCGAACTAATAACACACACACTGGCAACTTCAATAAAACACATACCATCAAAAACATGGAGATTGAAATATGGAAGTTCTTTCTTATAGCCATTCGACATAAATGATCCAGCATTATTTGACTGACTTGACAACTGACATGCTTGCAAAAACTAACCCCTTATAAACGATCAAGGAAGTTTTATAGATTTTTTTTCAAGCGCACATATTTTTAAATCACTGCATCTTTGACAACTCGAGGGTTATGAATTGTTTTCCGCTTTGTCTTCCGGAATGCAAATAAACATTTCAGAATGAAACAATGATAAAAACTAAAAATAATTTTTCTTTGGTACAGAGAACAAAATAACGTTTTATCTTCATCGATTTACGAATAAACGAGGGAAAGAAAATCGAAAACGCGAATAAAACAAAATAAATCGCCGCTGAGGAAAATCAATTTAAAACAAACTGTCTATTCAGCAAAATCTGAAATGGAAAAGTTTTAGAAAACTTATTTCTCCACCCAGAAACACTTAATCTTCAAAAATTAAATAATTTAATAAATAAATTAATATGGATAATCGATAACTTTAAAAAATATTCTCGACTATGTAAGACGCAATGTAATGAAAACATGCTAATTGGAAAATAAGAAAAAGGTGATAAAAGAGACGTGCCCGACTACAACAAAGTGCAATGATTTTCCAAGAAAAGATTATAACGATACATTTACGTGGTAAAAATATGAAGATATAAATATAGTTACCTAAAAAATGACGAAAACAATAATAATTGTGTTACATTCACTTGTGCGGAGATAAAATTAAAATTACAAATATTCATTGAAATGAAATGATACAATAGTAACAATACTAACTACATTAACATATACGCGGTATCAACAAAATTACAATTTTGAGTTTAATTTTATCAATAAATGTGTTTAGTAAAAATGGATTGATAAACGTATAAGAAACACAATTTTTAAATTAAAAATGTTTTTTCTTTAAATATATAAAAAATTTTTGTCAGGAAAAGAAGATATTTTTCTTAAATTTAGTTTCTCCGGATATTATTTTTCATATTTGATCGCATCAGCCTAGAGGCTCAGTTTCAAACGAAGAAGTAGGTCATTATTAAATTTAGAATTTTAAAAAATATCTTAGATCTTACCAATAAAACTTTTCCGACAGAAGAATAAACAGCTCTTGCAGTCTGTAGAATCAATAATCCATTTGGCGTTAGGGGAGAAATACGTCAGGAGTTTGGCGTCCTTGTCCCAGGATTGAAGTTTTGCGTCAGGCCAGAGTGAATCATTGTAGTGGATTTTGTACCAGCCATCGTAATATTCTAAGGTACATTTCCAAGTTTTGTTGGTCAGGATGTAATCATCTGGTGTGCTGGCTATGAAACCCCCTAAACAGGTTGAGTTTTTGTTCGTTCAAAGCATAAATATTAAACTCACCAATATGACACATTCATACAGATATATAAACATAAGCTGTCTATGAGGTTTAATTTATAATTAAGATAAACAAGCGACAAATTTTCAAAGTGATGTTTATTTTGTTTATAGTAAACACGTAGCTATTTCCTGTCAAAATCTAAAAAATGTTGGAAATAAAAGATAAATAAGCCGATACAGATGTACAAAAATGTTTACAAAAATATATTGTAAGACTAAAATTAGGAAAAAATACAAAAACAATAGTAAATGCTACTATGAACGTTAAAGACAAACAGAGCCAGAACGTGAAAATTCAAAGAATCAAGGTCATCAGTATTGGTACTGGTCGCCGAGTTAGCTTAGTCAGTTGAAGTGCCGTATCATTAATACAATAAATTAAGTCGTTGAACTATCTGCTTTACTGAATGATAGTTCTGAAGCAGACTAACCTGAAAACTCGTTGTTGTACATCTTGAGGGCAAGCACATGAATGTCACCTTCCAAGTTGTACGAATCGGGTCTGTTCCAATAAACTGCGTTTGGAAAGTTGGAAGCTACAGAAATGTTGTTGCCGTTGAAGTAAAATTCCCTCAGTTCGTTGTCCACAGTAATATTTAGGACATTTCTGGCTATTGATCTATCAGCTGTGATTACAACTATTGATAACATTAGTCTAAAAATTTGGTCAAAAAGATTCAATAAAAAATTTTAAATGGGTTCCATAAATTACCTTCCCTGAGATAATATTGACAGCCGGGCAGTACAGAGAACTTGTTCAATGTTTGGTTGAAGAGTTGGCACTGATTGGTGGCACTGAAGAAGTTGTAAGCCACACAGCTGGCTGTTTGTGAACATCTCATTGAACACAACATGAGGGCCTCTTGAAACGAGAACTTGGACCAGCTCCTGTCCTCAATCGCTGGATCGCACGAACAAAAACTCACATTATCTTTTTTAAATTTAAAATAACATTTAAAATCTGCTGAAACAATAACTATTTGGATATTTATTATTATAATTCTTAACAAATACATGTCTGGGGTCTCATTTAAAATTTCCATCCAACGTTCCAGATTATAAATGATATGAAAATATTTGAGCGAAAAAATATTGATTTTCAATTGTTAAAATTGAAATATAATGAATGAAAGATTAATAAGGCGCCTATTGTTATCCCAAATGCCAGGCTGCCGGCATCATAACTCATTTGCTATCATAACTCATTTGCTATCATAACTCATTTGCTATCATAACTCATTTGCTATCATCACTCATTTGCTATCATTTGCTCAAGTTGCATTATGTTGTCTGTGCTTTCAAATTGACGAAATTGTCTTTTGGCGTTCAGTTGTTTCAATTTTACTTTATTTAATTTTGTGTATAAGTTTTGTTTGTCGGTATTTCAATGTAAATTTTGTGTATAAGTTTTGTTTGCTGGTATTTCACTGTAAATTTTAAGGTTGTCTGCTTGTAAAAATTTATGAGAAAACCTATTAAGAATTCTATTTTTCAGCTACTACCATGATAAATGAACTTTTTTTATAAACGTAATTGTTCTTCGTTTTTAGAATTCTCTTCAACTGTCAAATAAAGAACATTATCTATAAAGTCAGCAGATGCAGATATAATATATATATATATATATATATATATATATATATATATATATATATATATATATATCCATGAGTCAGCACCGTGTATTTGAATGACTTCAATACCGGAATTTTTAAAGCAATGGTTGATTTAAATATGTCCTATATTAACGTTGTCATTGTTAAAGAATTTAATATTTGCAAGCATGAAGCCAGTAACATCGTCTGTATTGTCTCCAGAACGTACCACATTAATATTATTGCTAACTATCAGGTTATCAAGTGGTCATAATCACTTGTTTTTCTGTAATGAAAATGTTTGCTAATACACGGAGCGACAAGGGACAAAATTCAGTGAGATATAAGATTGTTACCAGATGCTTGATACATGATCTTGCTGACTTGTTTGCTAATGTACAGAGCCACAAGGGACAAAATTTAGAGTAAAGATAATATATGACAAACAAACAAACAGACAAACAAACATATTTAGTGGCATAAATAATAAAAGCATGCAGTTACCGGCTGGCTGGCTTGCAAATACAAAAAATTTAAATAAGAAAATTGAAATATGAAATCTGAGAAAGTACGTATTTCAAAAACTGCTGAAGTTAAATGTTTATAGATAATTGGGAATTTTAACTCACAACCAGAAAGTTATTTCATCTTGATATGATCATTTTATTTTTATTGTTTCTAAATTTTTCATCCTATTATAAAACTTACAACTCAGTTCTTATAATAATATCACCAATTATGTAGGTTAACAGCTATAAATCATTCAGTTTATGTAGTGTAATAAACTGGATTTCTAAATGAAGAGACTAATTGTGAAGTCAGTGCTGCATAGTTTAGACGAATTGAAATATACGTATGTGCTGGTTTGTATTAATTAGGAAGCAATGCTTTTTTACTGATAATCCGCAATAATTCAACGTCAATAAAAATGGGAAAAAATTGACTTTTTACATTGAAGATATTTTTAAATTAAAAAGATGAGTTGTAGAAAGAAAAATTGAGAAATCAAACATTTGTAAAAATTTGTGGCAAAATTTGAAACTAGAAATACAAGGCTTGGTAAGAAAAAATACAGCCAGTTAAAAATATGATCAGATATGGTAAGTGACTGTGTAGACGAGAACATCAAACAGAAGCAAGCGAGCAGCATGCCATGTTATAAGATGGTCAGAATGATCACCGATAACAAACAAAAGATGGTTAAGTTGATGCTAATTTGATAGCTTTATTAAAATTTGCGATCAATTTAGTATTTATGTTGGTAGCGTTATAAAGTTATCCAATTAGCATCAACTTAATCACCCTTTGATTAGTTATAGATGATCACTCTAACAATGTTATAACTTGTCGATGCAAGCAAATCAAACAAACCACCATAGCCACTTTAGGGACAAAAAGCCATTTGCTAACAAACCCTAAAAATTGTATAAATACCAATGGATAAAAGTTTGTTAATATTGAAATAAATAGTTGACTGCTAGCCTAAGATTTCCAACAACGTATTAACTCTAGTTACCTAAAAATTTCAACACCGACAAATAATATGGAGGCAGATGGTTTCATTATATCTTCCGAGCAGTTTGATGAGGATGACAGAATTTCGCATGCGTATAATCGATTTCAGGCAACTCAACCTTCCGACACCAACGCAGGCCATAAAAATTGTTTCAAGTTCCATTCTGAAAGACGTGGATTGAAGTGGCAAGGGACACAAAACTGTGACGATCACGATTGCCATGTTGTTGGAAACTATGAAAATGAAGATGATGAGAAGAATGAGGATGATGTAATTTCACATACTTATAAATCTTCATCGTCATCATCATCTCGCCATTATGACATCAGCAAAAACAAAGAAAATGATTTCAAATGTCACCCAGAAAAATGTGGAAGGAGAGGTGATGGGAGACAGAAACGTGTTCGGTTTCAACTGGATGATGACAATAACCAGTTGGGTAGAAACTATAATGATGAAGGTACTGATGATGATAATAAAGAGGATTATTCCATTTCACATACGTATAAAACATCATCATCATCATCCCGAAAGTACGACATCAATATAAACAACGAACATTTTTATGAAGCTCATCCAAACGGTAGTAAGATGAAACAGAGAAGAACGCTAAAGCGAGTCAGGTTCCAACTGGACACTGTGGAAAACATCCCACTTCACAATGAATATGTCAACTTCCACTCAACAATAAACGTCAGTGAAATATTGGAGGCACAGAGGAACACGGCATCGAAGATGTTTCAGTTGACGCAAGACCACAAACGACGATTTGCTGGGAAACAGAAAAAGACAAGTCGCGCCAAGAAAATAAAAAACTTCTTCAGGAAGAAATTTCAAAATTTATTCAATTGTGGATCAAAGAATTTAGAGCAATGTTATACAGAATATTTAAATTCTGCAAACGTGTAAATTTTAATAAGTTAATCATTCTTTCAATGCTATTTTCAACGAAAGGTTTAAAATATGAAAAAAAAAATAAAAATTCAGTGCCAGCGTTTGTTCCATCACCATTTGCGTTTTGCTGGATGACGGTGACTTATGAAAAAAATGTTTTTCGATTTTAATTTTGTATGGTCAGAACATTTATGTCAAAAACTCTCTCAATTAGTTTCTAGGATGAACGTTAACAAAACAAAAACAACTACAGTTTTATTAGAGGAGTAATAATAAATTCAAGAGAAGTTCATCATGTGCTAGAAAAATAAAAATATAATTTCCCTTAACTTTCAAATATAAATGTCGACAGTATCTTGTATTTTTAAACAGATATAAACCAATAATTGCAAACATATATTTCACCATATATTTCACTGTATTCATCCTTATTGATATAAAAATGTGGTTAAAAATTTTAAGCAAAGAAACGTTAAAACAAATGATTACTTCATTCAATCATTAAATATAAATTAACACTCATCTTTTTATATGAGATACAAAATATAAGAATTTTAAAATGAAAAAATTGCGTATTGAATTTGATATTTCAGGCTGTAACGCGTTTGTAAATGTCTATGCCGACAAATGATTCTGACGCGTTTCTTGAAGTATTTACATAATTTCTACGTTCCTGTACCACTAGCTGGTTTTATAAGTTTTTTGCTGTTTAGAGGTACCACCTCCCACTCGTCCCAAGTTAAATTGTGTGAAAGTAACTGAAAAACAAAAAAAAAACCAATAAAAAAATTTTTTGTAAACTTTGAAGTATTTTGTGAAATAAATAATTAAATATGTACATGAAATTTCAAATTGGAAAATTGTGGTTTTCAATATTTATACCTAACAGTGATATGAACTGTAAAATGATCAATATTTTTCCAATACAGAACAACATTTACAAATATTAGCATTTAAAACTAGAACACATTAAACTCAGACATGAAAGAATTTATGTCAGATATTTTGCACAAACACAAAAAAACTGGAAATCAATCACTAGCGAAGACGTAGGCTCCAAACTTCATTCCACATTTCCATGAAAAAACCATTTTCTGAAATGCTATGAACATTTAATAGCATTGCACCCACATTTGGGAGCTGAACAGCTGGAAAGACTCGCTATTTGAGTACGTCAGAAAGTTTGGGTACTGGGTGTTGAAATTCGTAAAACCGCACGATCCGTAACTTGTAGGCGATGGATGATACCACCATCCTGTTTGCAAGGGAAAAAGAAAAAATAGTAATTAAAATAAACTTTTTTCATTTGCTTATCATCTCACAAGTACAATATATAAACTGAGCAAATTATTATTATTCAAATTAGACCTGCTGTGTAGGCGAGAGCACAGTTAACATTGGAGTCTGGATCGTTGTCATCGTCATACGTCGAGAAGTACCTCCCCTCCCTGGACGAGAGACCAGAAGCTGTGCTCAGGTTTCCACCGAAGTAGTTCAAAGTGATCAATTGGTAGTTAACAGTCTGCCCCCCGACAACCATGCGGTCGTAATGTGAATAGTAAAGTTCCTCTCTTCCAGCTTGTTTGATGTGAAAACGTTAATGTTAGTCGTGTTGAATTTAGTTTTGTGCTAGTAATATTGTTGAGGAACAATAATTTTTTATGTTTTGAATGGAAGATTTATTAATCTTATGATATAACTTATTTTTTGTACCGAATTTTCTAAAAATAACGTAAATATTTTCTGTTTTCTTTACACCATCTTTGCTGAGTTTGTTGTTGCATGTCAAAAAAGTTGTATTTTATGTTGCATTTTAGCGTGTTTACATTTCATCGTGTTTTTGCATTACTCCGAAAATGGTTACAGCAAGTTATGCTTTTTTAATTTTCAATTTTCGGAATTGTTTGTAGACCATTTTTTAAATTGGATGGTTTAGGAATAACAAAATATTTCTTATTAAATGCAGTTGATCTAATAAATGCTTTGTAAAAGAAGCAATTGAGAATGCGCCAACTGGAAGCAAAAAACATTTGCAAAATTACAGGCCCTAGAAGTTTGCCGGTTGGTAAGACTTTACTATTCACCGCTATCAAAATGCAATGAAGACGAATGAACACAAACAAACATCCGTAAAAACAAATAAAATTATTAAACTGAACTCACAATCGTTGACGGAGAGATAAACATGGAGGCTGCATGTATATTTGTTCGTCAGCTGGTACAATAACTCATTACCTATCCAATACGCATCCCAAGATGTAGTACCGCAAGATCCGCCACTCATTTTATCCTTAACTCCGGAATCGTTATTATCCGACGTGCTGCTCGATGATATCGACATATTTGGAACCGAAAAACCGACTTTGAACTGAGACCAAGATTTGTTGAAGGCAGTTGAGTCTGGCTTGAGTTTTATTTGAACCAGAAAGGTGAAAGTTGGTGTTGGTTTGTTTTTAGGTGGAGCTGAATAGTAAGTTATATCACATTTAGAAATATAGGAGATTAAAATTTTCCGAACTTCAAGTTTTTGTTCAAATCAATTTAATCATAATCTTAAGTATTTTAAGGTTTATCATTAATTAAATTTTTTACTTTAAATAAAATAAGAAATATATTTAATACAGTTAGAAGTTATATGTTAAACATGATAAGAAACGTTCTTCAATCAATAATTGAAATAAATACATTTTTAATTAAATATATATGTTATTTGCGGTGTAGTGAAAATCATGAAGTTGACATATACGTACGTGGTTTGTTGAGCAAATGCTGGTAGGGATATACTGGTGTTACAACGATGCCTTTTCTATTTACTGGTTTCAACTGTTATTAGAATTTAAAAGTCAATAAATTTTAAAAATATAAATTTAAACAAAAATCATTAAATTTTTAAAAATTCTATTAGTAGCGAAAATCACACCCAACCGCGTGATAAACACATCCGAACTGTTGTGCAAAATAAACCGATTGGTATCGATACAACTCGCACATCCCTGAATCAAATCGAACATTGAACCCTTGACAGGCAGCCTGACCCGGCAGTTTATACCGACAGAGAGCTGCACATAAGATCAAGAATGTCGGTATCTGATCATCGGATTGACCATCCAAGGAATATAGATCCATTCCTGATGATGCAGTTGGTTCCTCTATTGAGCACAAACTAACATCGTTGGGGTTCTTCAGATTGGTGGTGGGTGGTGTTGTTGAATTCATCCGGAGGCTCTGGAAACATGAAGTAATGTTGGAGAAGTTCAGTACTGGCACCAAAGAGTTCAACAACGATGGTGATGAGAATGATGATAACGGAAGGAGAGTTATTTGGATGATTAGATCCAGCGCTAACAACTGACCAACAAAAACGTTAATTAGTTTAAAAAAATTCATTTCAACGTTGCTACCACGAAGAAATACTGCGTGTTACTCTGAAGAAACAGTGCGTGTCAATGTACACTTGCATGCCTGTGAATCGATACTCGTATTTATCGTATTGAAAATTTTTGAGTTAATAACAAAAAAATGTAATAGCCTTTATACATACTATTGTATATGCGTGTGATGTCCATATGTATGTATGTATGTATGTATGTATGTTTGTCTGTATTTGTGAACCAATGCGCTCATTTGGAACATTAGCTTCCTATTCATCCTCGTACTCACGAATGTCAACAAATAGAAAATATTTTTAATAATACTCAGTATTATTTTTGTTTCAATGTTGATGTTGTGATTTAAGTATAAATGTGAATAACAAAAAAAAAAATAATCATCATCGAACAAAAAAAATTTCGAATCCATTCATTTCGACTTATCGACTTAGCAAGAAGTACAATGCGATGCATTATCTTCTTGACTGACATTGTTCATAACGAGGCATAATGTAGTATTCGTTTTTCTATATAATTATTTGTAAATTTATTCTAAATCAATACACAGAGATAATAATATGTATTGTACGCTACATTGCTTGCAACAGTGTTTGTAATGTCAGAACTCCAAAGTTAGTACGACGAGTTAACACTGTTGGTAGGAGTGCTGGAACCAACACTGATGTTGCTTGCCGATCTAGATCAAGCTCTGGCTGATGGAAAGACAAACGAAAAATAATCTGAAAGTAGTTCTGTATTTGTTAGAACTGCATTACTGAGAAAAAAAAGTATTTGTACAATGAAACAAATTAAGATCTTTACAATTAACAACTGAAACGAAATATACACCCAAATATCTCACTAACTAGTAAGAATACTTTTTGTTATCACCAGTCATATATCATTTAATTGCAGTTGTTTGAATAGAATTTTTAAAAATGTAATTAAAAATGAAATAATCTCTCTGACATACACTCATTAAATCAATAAATAATTTAACTTTTTATACTTCGAATCGTCTTATTGAAACAACCATGGGAATAAATTTTTTGATGTAAAACACGGTAGGAAGTTTGAGTTACTCGGATAGTTTGAGATTTTAACCAATGTGTAAGAAAAGAGGCCACAAATCTGTATGGAATGCAATGTAAGGTTCGACCAAATCGGTATGAAATGGAAGAGGTGAGGTTCTACGATTGAACGGTTGAATGCTGGTTGGGAACATCTTAATTATTTCTAACATCTTAATAAGTAGTTCGCATTACTTACCTAAAAGTTGAATAACATCACAAATCTACAAAACACCGCATATTATCAAAAAAAAAAAAAAAATTATTATTAATTATAACAATATTGTTCGGTAAAAATTATTATAACTAAAAAATTATTAATAACAACTCAAATTTTATGTAGACAAAGAGATTGAACATTAGACGAGTGTTAGGTCTGTTTAAGATGCTTTTTACTGAGGTGTTTGTTTTGGTAAATATGCTAAGCCAATCGGAAATAATAAATCAAATTTTTTTTCACGGAAAACAAGTCTTTAAATTAAAATAACTAATTGTTAAAAAGAAACTTGAGAGTTCAAAAACTTTCAAGAAATTGTGAAAAAAAAAAAACTTCGATAAAAAAAAGTTTGAAAGCTTGCCAACAAAGGAAATGTGACTAGTTATAATTTCGGTCAAATAAGCAATTTGAATACATTAGTGTTGAGAGCGCGTGCCACATCAAACATATGCAAACCAGCATGAACATGTTATAAGATTGTTAGAATGATCATCGATAAGAAACAAAGTCGATGCTAATTAGAGAGCTTTATTGAGACATGCCCAATATTAACCATCGATAAATTTCTATCAATCACCGTTACTCACTTTGCAATAAATCACTTTGTTGGCCAATTGAAGGAATATATAAACACTGGTAATGATGCGTTAAAACGTCAATCGGTATTCAACACAAAACCAGCAACAACATTTGATATCCCAAAATTCAACGAAAACAACTAAACAGCAGCAAAATGAGCAGAGTTTCAACGTCATCATTGAAATCCGCATCGTCAGGATATGGATCAAATGATGGAAAGTCTGTGACGTCATCAACATCAGTGACGTCATTTTCATCCATTGAATCAACATCGTCACTTCCTGATGATGATTTGATGACATCAACCGGAAGCACAAACGATGACGAAGTTGTTGATGATTATCACGATGAAACGTCATCATCATCGTTATCATCACCTCTCAGAGCAATAAGCTTCTCCTCTCCATCATTATGTTCGGTGACAATGAGAGAATCATTTTTGTTTCATCTCAGAAGTTCTCATGACGATGAGGAAGATGGAGGAGAAGAGGAAGAAGATGGCGTGGAAGATGAGGATGACGCGGAAGAAGATGATGGAGATGATGATGTAATACATACCATCCTCTTCTCGCCAACCTGCAGACATGTGAGAACATCCCACAACAGAAGAAATAATCTTAACGACAAAGATCGACGCTATGGATCGATTGAATTGAAAGTTGAAAGGAGCCGTCAAAAGATTGTTGTACAAGTGAACAGTGCTCAGAATTTGAACCCCCTGACAACTGACTCATGCAACAGTTATGTGCATGTCCGACTCACACACACGCAAGGTCATGTCCTTGAGAAGTTCAGAACAAAAACAATATTCAACACATTTGATCCTCACTTCAACAAAAGCATTTCATTCCATCTCCCTGAAAAATTGAATGACTACAAAATGATGATTCACACAACGATTTACAACGAGAACCCAATCATTTCAGATGAAGAATTGGGACACGTCGAAATAACCTTACCAAATAAGCTCTACTATGTCCAAGAATGCCAAACATACCTCGACCGTCCAGCAAATTACAGCAAGTATATGCTTCAGCACAAAAATGGACAACAAACGAAGATTAATGTTAATGATATGATAGAAGGTCAGAGGAACATGCAGTTGTATATGTCTCAATTAGCTCACAATCACATGACTCAAGCACCGGGAAAAATCAAAAAATCATCTGGTGCCTCGAAAATCAGAAAGTTTTTGAGGAAGAAAATGCAAAAGTTGTTGAAGCGCATTCGTAAATAACTTGATGGAGATGTTCTTAAGTGGTTGAATCAATGATGGAAATCAATGTTGATTGTTTTTAAGGACTTTTTTAATTGTACATAATCTGATTTGTATATCAACATATTTTAATTGTAAATATACCTTTCATGCTCATTTTTTTGTGTTACAACAACCTTTCTAAAGCACGTTGAATCAGATGATCTAAACACTATTGTCCCGTTGTTTCGTATTTACCGGATTAAAAAAAATTAAGTATTGGTAAACTTAATTTTAATCATGGTGTTGTTCAAATATAATCTTCAAATCTAAAATATTTCTGTAATTCAGTAATCTATACCCGTTAAATTTCAATTAACATTTTTTAAAAAATAGTGAATTGAAGGAATTTTTAAAAACATCTAAATTTTTATAACGGTCGGTACATTATGTTTTTCACCATATGAAAGATTATATTAATATGGGTAGAACATCCAATCATACACGCAAATACGTACACACTAAACCCATTTTACTGGAATATATATTGTTATAATACTCACTATCGTAACCGATTTACGATGCGACGGGTTCAAATCCTCGATTGAATAAAATATTCCAAACAGTTATTAAACTTTATTTACAGAAGAAATCAACTATTATTAGTTATTAAACTTTATTTACAGAAGAAATCAACTAATCGTTTATTTCCAGTAAGTTCAAACTAACGCAACAATTAACTTTTAAATCGTTCAAAATCGATCGCTATGACAACGTCAACAAACAAATCAAATTTGATATCGTGATGAAACATTGCTAAGAAATGGAAACATTTGTTGATTGTCATATGAATCAACAAATCACACATACTGCATGAAATATGCATGGATCCCTTTCGCATTCGAACCCAGTCATTGCAAAAGCAGCACCATCTTGCCATCCAATCATCTTAATATTTTTTTATTATTATTAGTTTTCGTATTATTATTATTACTTCTATTATTTCTATCATTATAAATGCCAACTTCTATCATAATAAATTATAATGATGATAAAAACTTTTTGTATATCCATAAGAATAATAACAATTAAATCAAAATTTCTCAATCGGCCCTTCTGCAGTTGTAAAAGTTGTTAACTATGTTTATTAGCACAGGACTTTCTAACAATCATCAATTATAGTTAATGATTATTATGCTAATTAATGTTAATTAATGATAATTATAATTCAGTCAGCGATGTCTCTTGTTATAAGATTGGCACGCGTTCTTTGTACTCTCCATGTCAGGTTTACAGTCTATCTGATCATTGTTATAATTACCTTAATTAATGTCAATAATTTAATTACTTTTATTGGCCCCGACTATTATTACCACTGCTGCAACTGCTCTTACTACTACTGCTGCTACTACTACTACTACTATTACTACTACAGCTGCGGTTACTGCAACCACTACTACTGCCCCCACTACCACTACTACTACTACCACTAGATGTTACTATTACTAAAACTACAACTACAATACAAATAATTCCTTCACAGTAATGAGCCACATTACTTATGTAATACAGTAACCTAGAACATTCAGTGCTTAAGAAGAAATTACTGATTACTAACAAGAAACGAAAACTAATAAATTCAGTCTGTTGGAGACGAGTGCCCAATAAACTGTTGATTCCTAACAATGCCAAGCATCGTTAGAATGTTAGGCCGGCATGTATACGTTTACGACCAGTAAACGTTTTATTACTATCGAAAATGTTTCAACACTGCTGCAATAAAATAATTTGAGGTTTAGTTACGATGAGTTTGTCTGTTTGCTTGTTTTTATTGTTCTGTACTTTCTTAGGAGAAAGGAAATTTAAGAGGAGTATATATGTGGAAGTGCTGGAGGTGTTAACTACATTCACACGTACATAACAGGGTTTTGTAATTGGGAGCGTGCCAGAAGTATTCGAATTTTTAAAGTTTAACCAACTGGAATCGATAGAAAGTTTACATAGTTCACGTTTTCAGAATAAATACTCACAAATATTTTAAAATGAGTACCTCATCATTGGCCTCGTTGGAATCCGCCTCGTCAGGATATGGATCAAATGATGGAAAGTCTGTGACGTCATCAACATCAGTGACGTCATTTTCATCCATTGAATCAACATCGTCGTTTCCGGATGGTGATTTGATGACATCAACCGGAAGCATGAACGATGACGAAGTTGTTGATTTTCACGATGAAACGTCATCATCATTATCATCCCCTCTTAGAGCAATAAGCTTCTCCTCTCCATCATTATGTTCGGTGACAATGAGAGAATCATTTTTGTTTCATCTCAGAAATTCCGACGACGATGATGAAGGCAAAGGAGGAGAGGAAGAAGATGGCGTGGAAGATGAGGATGACGCGGAAGAAGATGATGGAGATGATGATGGAATCCATACCATCCTCTTCTCGCCAACCTGCAGACATGCGGAAACATCCCACAGCAGCAGAAATAATCTTAACGACAAAGATCGACGCTATGGATCGATTGAATTGAAAGTTGAAAGGAGCCGTCAAAAGATTGTTGTACAAGTGAACAGTGCTCAGAATTTGAACCCCCTGACAACTGACTCATGCAACAGTTATGTGCATGTCCGCCTCACACACATGCAAGGTCATGTCCTTAAGAAGTTCAGAACAAAAACAATATTCAACACATTTGATCCTCACTTCAACGAAAGCATTTCATTCCATCTCCCTGAACAATGGAATGACTACAAAATGATGATTCACACGACGATTTACAACGAGAACCCAATCATATCAGATGAAGAATTGGGACACGTCGAAATAACCTTACCAAACAAGCTCTACTATGTCCAAGAATGCCAAACATACCTCGACCAACCAGCAAATTACAGCAAGTATCTACTGCATCATAATGAGAAATCCCGGCTAACGGATGTTAGCGTCAACCAATTGCTAAAAATTCAGATGAACAAACAAATGTTTCAATTGACTCTAAATCACAAAATGCAAGTATCGGAAAAAGTCAAAAATTCATCCTCAAAAATCAGAAAGTTTTTGAAGAAAAAACTGCAAAAGTTGTTGAAATGAAGATGTGAAGAATTTGTGAATAGTAAATTGATGAATGATTGTGAATTTTTTAATGAATTTTTCAATATGCAATTGTACATAATCCAATTTTTAAATTGTATATATCATGTTTTTAAACAACCTCTTTAAAATAATCATTTGTATATATTCCATTTTCTAAAATTGTATGTATCAATTTTTACATTAGCAAAGAAATTTTTCCAACAATGTATAAACACTCGTTTTTTAAATCACATCATAACTCGACGAAATTTGGTTAGGTAGTTATTTCTGGTATTAAGGTCGTACTTTAAAAAAAATTTAAAAAAAAAACTTTATATATTTATTCATATATCTATACGAATATAATATATATATTTATTCATATATCTATATGAATATAATATATATCATTTATGTAATACATTTCAAGCACAACCCTTCAGCAAGAAATGTGTCAAAAGACATTACACTTTTAAAATACTTTAAATACTTTAAAGAACTTTCAGAAAACTAAAGCTTTATCTTTGGTTGCAGTTAATTATGAAAGAATGTTGTAGAATAATGATAATCTACACACAAGATGTCAACGATGCTTCTTGCTTCTTCACAACAAAGACTCTAGTGTCTTGCAATTATTTAAAAATTATCCAAAACTAATGTTATTTTGTTTGGTCCTAAAATCGTAACTGATTCGATTTATTTCGATAATTTATAATAATTGTACTATAAATAGGGTAGAGAGTATAAAATTCTTAAGTATTATTATAGTAAGTAACTTAAATAGGAAAGATCATATCTTATATACGTAAAAAAATGTCCAAAAAATAGGCGCTATATATAAATTAAAGATGTTATTACCCAAACGTATTCTCATTAACGTTTGCCATTCTCTCATACATCCTATCTCTTAGACGGAAACATTATTTGAGGTCGCCAGATTATTGTCATTACTAACTGGGTGTCAAATTTTTTTCATTAGAATTCATTATAGTTTAAAAAAATTGACCACATTTCTTTTTATCACAGTCTAACTTGTTATCCATTAACCAATTGCATATATTAAGAGTTTTATTATTTTTCTATAACTTAATTGTTTTCAAATCCTCAGTTTCATTCTCACTTAGTGACTTCATCATCGGCCGGTGTTCTCGTGTCGATTCCATTTTATCCCGTACCTACTGTACTGCATTGTAATTTTGTATTAAACTTTGGCGTAAAGTTGTGGGAATTGCTACCATTTGGGAATGTCTAAAAAATGGTTATTGAATTGTGGCTGGCTAATTATTCTGAGTAGTTTTTGATTGATTATATGAAGCCTGTCAAAGTGTTGAACTGTGCCTCGGTCGTATAAACTTGAAGGGTGTTATTTGATATGCGCTTTTTTTATTCCTGAACAGACGCGTACTTCATCAGAATCACAATAAAATAAACCCATCTGCACGATGATTCATAAATAACGTTCTTCAAAATTTGAATATGTGGGTAAATTTCAAAGAATCCTTGTGAAAAAACCGAAAAGATAGTCTACAAGTGAACTTATGCTAAAAATTCTGTAGAATTTTCAAAATATTATATCAAATAATGGCTTCTTGCTACATCAGCACCACCAGCGTTGGAAAAAACATTACACCGAAAACCAAAACAATCCTACACAAATCACGTGATAAAAAAACTTAAATCACTATACGTAATTATTTGATATTATTTGTAAAGTGGAGCTTAAAAATTTAACAAAAGGTGAAATTTTTTGCGGAAACCAAATCATTTGTTTGCCTTATTATTATTTCTCTAATTCAGGTTGTTAATATTGTTATTATTGCTGTTTAATATAAAATTATTAGTCTCTAAAAGCAAGCTATAAAACTCTACAATAAATTATCAAATAAATTATTTCTGTAATTATTATTTTGAAGAAAATTGTAAAATTCTAGAATTTTGAAAAGTGGATTGATGCGTTCCATACCGCGAGTCAGCCATCCGTTGTTCGACCATTTCCGCAGAAAAACTACTCAATTTGTCCTATTTTATATAATTAAATAAACAAATGAAAATAATAGCTGGAAAATTTAAAAAAATTTGAAAGGATTTATGAAAAGATGCATTCCAAAAGTTACGCCCCTTTCAGGCTTTAAGACAATTTCCCACAGTTCACTTTGAAACGACACGTAGGGAACCAACGGAAGTTTTATCATCATCATCAACTTCACAATCATCATTATCATCATCATCACCACCACCACAATCATCATCATCAAAAACATCGTAATTTGGAACTAATTGACTAGAACAACCATTATTTAAATATTTATCAAACAAAAAAGAGATGAAACACGAAAAACGTGGAATGGTCCAGTTATCCAGTTAGGTATTTTTAATGGAGCGAAGAATTTTGAGGTTAGGATATTAATGTCCCAAATTCAAGTTAACGGTAGGGTTGTTTTTATTTCAAAATATTTCAAATTCACAAATGGAAATAAGGAAAAAAAATTAGAATGTCATTAATTTTGTGACAAAATTTTTTCTTCCTTGAAAATTTTATTTCTGAGTCTGTTTATTTTTTTCTTTTTTTCAATTTATTCGTCCATACATATATTATGCAAAAATCCGTTTGTACATCCATCCGTGTGTCCGTCCGTCCACCCGTTCATCCATTCAGTCATCTATCTATCTATCTATCTATCTATCTATCTATCTATCTATCTATCTATCTATCTATCTATCTATCTATCTATCTATCTATCTATCTATCTATCTATCTATCTATCTATCTATCTATCTATCTATCTATCTATCTATCTATCTATCTATCTATCTATCTATCTATCTATCTATCTATCTATCTATCTATCTATCTATCTATCTATCTATCTATCTATCTATCTATCTATCTATCTATCTATCTATCTATCTATCTATCTATCTATCTATCTATCTATCTATCTATCTATCTATCTATCTATCTATCTATCTATCTATCTATCTATCTATCTATCTATCTATCTATCTATCTACAAAATCAACCATTCATCAATCAATCAATCCATTTATCTATCCGTCAACTAGTCCAACAACGTGGAACGAAACGATATTTTATTTGCAACGAACATTTCATGCAGAGTAAATGTTAAACGCAAACACGCACACACACACACACACACACACACACAAACACATACACATACACACACACACATCACAATTCATCCTTGACATTATGATGAACATCAGTAGCAGCTGTTTTGTTATTCCTCTTATTAGATGCAGAGCTCATTCCATACCTCCGAACGTACGGAAGCACCTGTTCGTACGACTGTCGCACCAGAATAAATTGTTTCTCGGCCCACTTTTTCTCCCATGGGTTACTCTTCACGTACCTGTGCCACGTTTTGTTGATGACGTCACGTTTTTTCGATGACGTCATGTTTTGTTGATGGCGTAATGTTTTGTTGATGACGTCATGTTTCGTTGATAATGTCGTGTAACGGATCAGTCACATGATTTAATGATGTGATTTGAGGTATCACCACAGGATATATCTTATATGATTTGGTGTCATACGGTATATCGTCGTAATGTATCGTGTGATTTGATGCCACATGATGTTGATGTGATATATGATATTGTATGACATCACATGATGTGACCAGCTGATGAAATGCATATGGTCGAGATGATACTCTCATTAATAGCTAATCTAACTTCAATAATGACTGCATCATCTACGTTGTATTATATTTCAAAAAGTGACAATCCAGGTGATGTATGTAATTAACAATTATAAAAAGGCTGATACGTATTTTTATATACACGTGTGTGTATGTGTGTGTGTGTGTGTGTGTGGTGTGTGTGTGTGTGTGTGTGAGTGCGTTTTCAAACTTACATAAATACGTATACATAGTTATTTTCCTCACAAAACATGAGTGAATAAATGTATATCGGCGTATCGCACACTTTCGCTTATGATAAGCCGGAATCAGCTTGTATTTGAACGCGGTCACTCACTGCAATGCATGACCTAAGTATTGCATTTTAATTTAGCCCGTACATCACATTTATAGTTTCTACATCACAAATTATTTAAAAATAACTGCTATATGAGACGTACTTATCTGGGTGGTACTTCCTGGCAAGTTTCCTATACTGGGAAATGACTTGTTCCTCGGTTGCATTTTCATCCAGCTCAAGTACCTTGTGTTATCATCATTATGGTTAGCATTGTTGCTGCTATTATTATTAACATTATTAATAGTCAGCCAGTATTATAAATGTTCACATCAACAACACCAATAAAACTGTTAACGTCCAATAATGACGCATCACGTGATCATGTTGTGACGTGTGTCATGTGATGCATCACGTGACGCAATTTTGTATTCACACAACAGGTGTATGTCGTAGTAGAATATCTGAACATGAAATTCTTACGAAACCTTGAATGCTTCCTGATCGAATCCATCCACACTCAACATCTCCAGTGAGCGAAGGACGAACTCAACAAACCCCTGTTCTTTTAGGGTTTCCGTCAGCTTTCTGATACCGGCCTTCAAATCTTCCCAGGGCAGCTCCCTGGCCACGTAGTCACTCAGCGGTACCTTCATCCCTCCCTGCGTCACAATTCGAGTGTTGAAGTAGATGGCTGAAAAGGTAGCGGTCAACAGCAAACTGCCCAGGGCATATACGAAGATGAATCTGATGAGGACGTTTCGATCATTGATATCTTTGGTTGATGCGTACTTCCAGCCTCTTTGGAGGGCTACAAAAGACGAGGAGAGAGCCGACAGAAAGATGGCGTTGTTGATGGTTTTCGAGTCAAGAACGAGGTAGGCGTAGGGTATGACGAGGGCAGACCCCACGAAACAACTCCCTAAAGAACATCTCACTGAGCCAATGTTGGCTATCGTGTGCACACCTAGTTGAGATGATGATGTTTTGGTGGTGATGGTAATGATGCTGTGGTGGTGATAGTGATGATGTTGCGGTGGTGATGATGATGATGTTACGGTGATGACGGGGATGATGAAAATGTGAACTTCACATATTTTCATCATCACCGTCATAACTACGGAGGCGAATAAAGTGGTAATGATACTTGCTGATAATTATGATGAATGTGACACAAGTTGGCAAAAATGAAAAGAAAATGATTAAATAGAAAATATGACTGGATCAAAATAATGAGGCTTATCAAAAAAGCATGCAGCCAAATTAACGTGTAACTGAATATTTTCAATTAATCGGTCATAAATGTATGACCAGTCATTTATGGACACACGCATTTAGAAACGCAACACCAACAAATACTAACATGAATGCCTACATATATTTATGTTAAATTATAACATAAATTTTACGGTAAGAAATCAACTTAACCCCCACACACTTTCTCACTCACGCACGCATTAAATATCTCACCAATTGTAACTGCAATAGCGTGTAGAATTATTATATGAAAATAATATTCTTCCAACGCTTCCACGGGGAACATGGCCAAGCTCAACGTTCCCAGGTATGCGCCGAATAAAATCTGACAGATAAATCTCGTCATGTTGAAACTCGGTCGTTCATTTGGATCAAAGAAGGCAATAGGCTGATTAAATCTCAAATTATTCTCCAATCGCACGTAGCCAGGTATGTGGAAGAAATCATAAATCAGACAGATCCCCAGGCAGCTGATTGTTGCGAAGTGTACGAAGGCATGTCGGTCTCGTTTTAAATAAAAGTGGTGGCCTCCGAATATTCCAAATCCGAAGAAAAACATGTAAGCTAAAATAATACTACATCGCCACGGTCTATTAAATGATAAAAATAGTGAATAAAATGCAGATATAATTCGACTGAAAACATTTTTTGGAAACATTTTAAAAAAGAAGCAAGATCTTTGAAAAAAACTAAATTAATGAAAAAGTTATTAAAAAATTAGAGATTATTTCAATTCAGATACGAGAAACGAAGAACACTTGAACAGCAATCGCAACAAACATCCAACATCGGATCCGGCTCTGTATATCATACGAACGTTTCAAAATTGCTTTGTTGGTATTGTCATGGTAACCGTAAGAATGACTGAGTAAAAGTGCACTGAAATAACAAATATACAATATATATTATTAATCATATATAATCAATATATATATTTATAATTAAAAACACACTCCAATTATCATTAATTCTCTTAAAACTGAAATAATTTTAAATTACTGCTTTATGATTGCCTATAAAATAACTTGATGTGGTTTTAATAACAGAATTTGAAGCACTAGCTCAAGGTCCACATATGTCATTCATTTATCATATTCATCATAGCTGATGACGTCATTAGTCTCATTGTCGGTTTATAGTAGCTTCATTATCGCCATTACCATCATCATCATCGTCGTCATTATTTTCCCTAACCCACTATCATCATCAACATCACCATCATCATCACCATCATTGTTTTCATCCGCTTTTCACGGATTGAAGTGTAAACATTCTTAGAAAACCATTTCAAGCAGTAGTAATAGTTTTTAAGAACATGCCCTCAACGCAATGTTTTAAAAGATATCAAATAGGAGCATTATAAAACCGCTAATAACACCAACATAAAGACAAAATAACTATTTTGTGCGTGTGCGTATGTGTTTGTGCGTGTGTGTGTGTTTGTGCTTGTGTGCATGCGAGTGTGTGCGCAATGATTTGGATCTAGTGGTGTAGCCGACCAAATCTTTTGCGGTGGGGCTAAATTTTTTTAATGATTCTTGACATTTTTTCAAGCTTTTTTTATATTTTTAAAAAATATATAAAACTGCTGATTTTTTTTTCATAGAAATTTATCAAATAATAATCTTGTGGAGAGGAGTTGAAACAATTTTAAGTCAAAATTCAAAACAAAATTTTGTTAAAATTTGGCAAAACTGTCCATCGATACCATCGGCTGGATTAGTTTTTAAATTTGAAAAATTGTTATAAAAATATTGATGGTAGCCAGTGGGTTTGAAAAAAATCTTCGTCCTCTATAATTACAAATTATTTGTGAATCATGTTCAATTATGGCTCCAAAGTCTGCTTCTGAGTTTGTGTGTATCTATGTACGTGTGTGTGTGTGTGTGTGTGTATGTGTGTATGCGCGAGTTTGCGTGTGTGCGCGTGTGTGTAGCATTCGCATGTTGTGACAACATTTTTTACCGCAGAGCTGCTTAAATAAAATTTTCGAGCAAAATAACCTCGACTAAATTTTCAGTTCTTTTTTGCCAATTTGGAAATTGAATTAACAACAATTGAATAACGAAACACTTCACTGCCACTCTAGCCAGGCAATTAGAAGGTAAATTAGCATTATAATTAAATTGAAACTTTTACAATTTTAAAAAATTAATCAACTTAATTTTTCAATATTTATTTGTCTATTAAACAGAATTTTAAAACTCAAAGTAAATTAAAATTTTTCGAGCGTTTTATTTAACCAAACCAAACTTTCACTTCAACCTCCCAAAAACTCCGTTGTCATCCCTACCTAGCACTGCATCATCATTTATTCATCCTTGCCGCTCGCTTGCCTGTGGATGAAACACGGAAACGCATCTTTCCAAACGTCCCTGGATAACTTCAAAGGCATGGTTTAAATGCACATACATACACATAAGTAGACATTGCCACACACATACAGACAGACAGACAGACATACACGGAAACGCACACGTAACGAACACATGAGCAAAGTACTCGCAAGCACGAACTATGTGTACATGCTGAAAAGCACACACACAAACAAATAAGTACATACACACACACATATATAAACACACAAGCACAATACCATGAATGATCACATCGACACTCAACTCACGTCCCCCTCTTCATACGTCTTGCAACATTAATCATCTTGCTCATCATACAGAATTATATTATCATCTTACTTAACATATATATATACTAACAAACAAAGAAACACACACACGCACGCACGCACACGCTCATACACACACAGTTTTTTTTGTAAAGAAGCACCTGCATGGAAGGACGTGTGTACGAATTTACGAGTTCAAACGTTTTTACATTTGAGCTTAATTTCTGCAGACGCACGTGAGGTTGGGACATAACTTGAAAACCACGTTTCATAGTTTTTTATTTATCTTTTAATTTTTAATGAAGATAAATGCCTATGAAAATATAATATCCCGGCATTAAAGCCTGCCTGAGCAAATAGAGATACGAATGCGCGTATGTAGTTATGTGTTTGTTTGCATTTGTTGCGCTTGTTTGTGTGTGCTTAATAAACGTGTGTCTATGTGTGTATGTGCTTGTGTGTATGTGCTTGTGTGTATGTGCTTGTGTGTATGTGCTTGTGTGTATGTGCTTGTGTATGTGCTTGTGCGTATGTGCTTGTGTGTATGTATATATGTATGTGCATGTGTGCATGTTTGTGTGCGTGTAGGTAGGGTTATGTTTGGACTGGACATACATTTATTTGGAAGCTTATGCATATTTTTATGAATGAGTTAGCAAGTGATATGTGGCCACATGAATATGTGATCGTATGTACGTTTGTAAATGTTGGGTGGACGGACGAAAGGTGCTGGTAGAAGTGGCCACTTGAAAGTCGTCAGTTGGAGGTGCTAGTTGAGGGTGGTTGTCTGCTTCTCATTGGTTGGGCTCAAATTCAAAAACATCTCCACCTATCTTACTCAAAAGTGATTGACGTCTTGATCTTACGTGTTCCATTTACTATGTGTGTCTACCTGTAATACCTCTGGTCTGAGTTCTTGTAAGAGGAAAAAATAATTTTAAAACTGATATTTATGAATTCGTTCAATGTATGTTTGTGTGTTTATTTTCGCATACTCTTGCATTCTGTAGCGTGTCTGTATTGTCTGTCTCTCTGTCTGTCGGTTTGTTTGCTTTTTGTTGCTTGTAAGTTTAACTGTTCAAATAAATTGTTTAAAATACTTTAACTTTTCGCAGCTTTCAAAAGTGAGAAAATAATTTTTCTCCCTCATGAATAATTATCGATTTTTAGTTGCAAAACGGCGTAGAAAAATATAAAAAAAGAAAAAAGAATAAATGAAGGATGGATCGAAAAGCGAAGGAAGACAGGAAGTGTTAAAGGATGAGACAATGATAAATAGTGAGAGTTATTTGCTTTGAAAATGTTTTATTGCCTTGGCTGGGGTTTATTTGTTGTGTAATTGTCTATATGCATGTATGCATGTGTGCGTACGTGTGTATGATTTAGGTCTACGTGTAAGTTGATGTGTGTATGCATATTTTTAATTCAGCTGAAATAAAAAAATGAATCAAATCAAATTAACAAGTAGTACATGGCATTATTCTCCATTTAAAACTCAACAGGAAAATACTATAAGATTTTGACAGATTCGTTGTCAACCCTCCTAGCATTGAAACAGTACAACCATGGACAACAATTAGTTGTTCGAATGCAGCACGAAACTCACTAAGTAACAAAAACAATCTAACCTTCATCAAGATCCCTAGCTACATTAGAATTGAAGGTACCGAAAGCGCAAATCAATTATCATCACAAGCTCAACTCCATCTTCCATCAACTCTTCAAACACCACATGACGACATGAGAGCGAAGACTAACGGCCTCATATATGGAAAATGACAACAAGAATAGAACGAGATATCAAATTTGATCAAAGTAGTTATGCCCGAATTATATTAATCCAGAATTGGCAAAATCAATTTGATAAGTCGAAATAACTTAAACATGATAAATAGAGTAAAAATCGGTCACTCCAAAATTACCCTTCTATGGATATTAAACATAACAAGACCTCCACTTTGTGAGGAATGTTGTTCAAAACTAACAATCCAACAACAAAATTTCAAACATATAATGAAAGCAGGAAAAAATACCAAACTCCAGAAGATATACAGTCAATTTTTAAAAATGAAAACATAGTAAGCCCGATATCATACATTAAGGAAATGAACATTTTCAACAACAACACCTAATTGCTCCTGCTTTTCAATAGATTCACAACAGAGACAAAAGGCGTAAAGAGAGCCTATCAGTGTTAAAACGCCGTGAAATTGCGGAATAAGAATAATAAATTTGGTAAAAAAAAATTTATTACAAAATAAACGCTTTATTTTTGCAAAATATGATATCATCTTGTTTTTAATTTGCATTGTAAACAGATAAATTTCATATTAAAAAATTATTTCATTTTAAAAACATTTATTCTAAAATTGCCCGCCAAAATTTCTGTGAGTTTTTATCCAACTTTTTAATTTTTCTAAATTTTTTAAAAAATTTAAAAACAATTTTTGGCATTGTATTTTTAGAAAAAGAAAGAACTATTTCTAGCTTTTAACAAAATCTCATATTTTTAGGAAGTTATTTTTGGAAATATAAAAAGTTAGAGCATTCAGATATTCAAATATTCAAATTAGAAAGTTCAAAGTAATGACAGAGGATGTTGTCTTTAGCGTTTTAAAAGCTGGCGTGATTAAAAAAAGGTTAAAGGTCATAAACTTTTCAAAAGTTCAAAGAAATCAACAACACACAAACATCGTATATGAGCAGGTGCTAAACGACGCATCACTCACAACGCATGTCATAGGCGCAGGTCTTCTTGTCATATTCGAACCCGGTCACTGCGGTCACTGAGTAATGTCCAGGCGATCTTAACCACTAGGCCATCATACCCCCATGCTATAATTTAGCTTTCTCCCGTTTAATAAAATGTTTGGTTTGATGACGTCATTTGAGAAGGAGCGGTTTCACCGCTTAATGAAAATCTTGACTTGAATGACATGATTAATTGAAGATATATTTCACAGATTTGCAAGTTAGACTCCATCAAAATCACGTTAACTTTACTAACAGTCGTTTTATAATATAATAGTAATTTCCAATTGATGTACAATTGAAAATTACTATTATATTATTAACAGCCAAATAATGTTTGATCATAACTATTTCCGTTATTACTTTTTTATGTGTGATCGATTGAATATGTGACTTTAAATGTATGGAATTGGATGTTTTGGGGTTGGCTGAAAAAACACTCGTGGTTATGCTGGACCCTTTTTTTCAAAATTATTTTTTAATGTTTGAAAAATAAACGGATAAAAAAAAACAGTCGTTTTAGTATGTCTTTGTATAATTAATATTAATGTATAAATACATACATACACGCAAATATACACAACTATACTACGCACACACTACAAAAGTCTCATAAAATAATGTGTCTTGTTCAGCAGGTACGGTACATAATGGTAATATACAAATGTATGTATAGTTATACATAAGTAGATAATACACATACACAGACACGTACAAAACCACCATACACACACATATACACATATTTATACATACTTGTTATAAGTATGTATACACATACATATTCACATAGCATAAATTCACATGCATGGGAAACTTCCGGATGGTGACAATATGTTAGGAAAGATGTAAAAAGATGCTCGCTCCTACTAAAACATAAGCTTGAATTTTATATGTGTGCGTGCGTGCGTGCGTGCGTGCGTGCTATTGTACAGGTATGCATGTGTATGGTATAGTGTATTGTACGAGCTGTGCATGTATACGTGTGTATACAAATTTTGTTTGTCTGTGAGGTTATTTTCAGTTTATGAACGCGCTTCAAGGAACTAAATCATTGTTAAGGTTTGTTTGGCTTGCACTTCTAACATTCTTCGTCCAGGTATTTTATTATTTTGATTTAAATTTGAATTTTATTTGAATTAAAATGGATACATTTTTTAAAATTTTAATATTCATTATTTTCATGTCACAATTGAAATAATTTATATGTATTTTTTTAATTTAAAGTTGCAAACTTAAAGTCAAATAATAATAAATTTGTTTGATGAAATAAATTTTAGGTAAAATTTTAACATCTTGTAGCAATAACTCGTCAAAGATGATATCTTTGTTTTATTTTTATAACGGTAATTAATTTCAATGTTTAATTTTCTTCCATTAATATTAACCTCTGAGAAATAGTTATGAATACAAACACACAGACTTAATTATACTACTACTACTACTGCTGCTGCTTCTACTATTACTACTACTTACTACTACTACTACTACTACTACTACTACTACTACTACTACTACTATTACTACTACTACTACTACTACTACTACTAATAATAATAATAATAATAATAATAATAATAATCATAATAATCAGAATAATAATAATTATTATTATTATTAATTATTATTATTATTATCCTATCACACATCAATTTGCTCATTCGTTTCGTTTAAAAAAGCTGTCTACGTTGTCTATGAAAAAAAAATTTCAGAACAAAAAAAATTAATTTATTTCAAGCTTTGATTCCAATTTGTTTTATTTTCTCATCGTCTCCAAACATTTCTATGAAAGTTTGCGAGATATTTTGGCTAGTTAAAGGGATAATAATAATAATAATAATAATAATAGTAATTATTATTATTATTATTATTATTAATAGTAGTAGAAGTAGTAGTAGTAGTAGTAGTAGTAGTAGTAGTAGTAGTAGTAGTAGTAGTAGTAGTAGTTTCACATAGGTTTCTGCTCGGTGTAGAAACCACTGTCGCCAAACAAAACCTACATAACTTAATAATTAATTAAATGCTTCTATGAAATTTCCATTTTGCCAATGGTATACTTGCTGGTGAAGTTTTTTTAATTGACCAAATTGACCATTCATACAATACAAACACAAAAACAACTATATATACATGCATACATACGTGCACACATATATACATACATACATACATAAAGGAAACATAAAAAATGCAATGCAGCTTCTGTCATCAACGGACACCGTGGCACCTGATACTGAAGAGACTATACGTGCTCTAAAGTCTAAACATCCCACCGCACCCAACAACAAACAGCAAAGTCCCTCCAAAGAAAGTTCAAGCTTGTGCGTTACATCTCAACAAGTACTGGTTTGTTTAAAAACTTTCCCAAAGGGAACATCAGGTGGCAGTGACGGCCTTACGCCGGAGCATCTCAAAGACCTCACATCTTCAAAAACAGATTCGATTGATCTCATCAACTCAATCACTGCATTTATCAACATGATCTTAAATGGTGATTGCCCACCTGATGTGGCCCCATACTTTTTTGGCGGAAGGCTGGTGGCCCTATCGAAAAAATGCGGCGGGATCAGACCCATTGCAGTCGGGTGTGTGTGGAGGCGCTTGGCCGCAAAATGCGCCATGTTAGCCGTCAGAGACAGAGTGGTTCCAATTTTACAGCCACAACAGGTGGGTGTCGGCGTCAGTGGTAGGGCAGAGGGAGCGGTACATGCAGTGAGACGATTTTTGGATGGCACGCGTGATGGCCAGTGTTTGCTCAAATTGGATTTTTCCAACGCTTTTAATACTCTAAGACGCGACCATATGTTGAACTGCGCCAAATCTATTCTGCCGGAGATTTTCAATTTTTGTTATTCGGCTTATGACTCGCCTTCTTTCCTGTCCTTCGGCGACACTAGGATCCTGTCAGCTGAGGGTGTTCAGCAGGGAGATCCTCTGGGTCCCCTTCTTTTTGCACTCTCTGTTGACCCACTAATTAAAACACTAAAATCCAAATTTGTTGTTGCCTACCTAGACGACATTTCATTGGGAGGTGATGTCGAGTCCGTTTTGAACGACCTTAATACTATTATAAATTCAGAAAAAAACATAGGTTTAAAACTTAATTTTGAAAAATGCGAGTTGTATATGAACAAACCTATTACACTTAACATTAAACATCCAATTAAAATCCTTGAAAAAAACGAGATTGATTTTCTAGGCTCAATAATTTTTCCTGGTGAAAGCCAAAACATATCCATAGCTAAAAAATTTGAAAATTTTAAACTTATCACCCAAAGGCTAAATATCATCAATAAACATGATGCAATGGTCCTTCTATTACAAGCTGCTTTTTTGCCTCGTCTTGTTTATTTTTTGAGAACATCCCCTCTGTTGGATGTTTCGATCCTCAATAGTTTTGACGATCACCTCCGTGACGTATTCCAGTCCATCTTCAACATAAAACTCGATCAAAAAAATTGGTTGCAGGGGACGCTGCCTATATGTGTTGGTGGCCTGGGTTTGGGTTCCGCGGCTGAGCTGGCACCTTCTGCCTTTTTGGCTTCTGCTGCTGCCACGGTGGCCCTCCAGGATCTGATGTTGCCGAGGGATGGGATTTATGTCGATAACTTCAGAATGCAAGTATACGACATGTGGCGCGCCACCAACGGAGATGTGGTTGCGCTCGAAAACCCCTCGCAAAAACACTGGATCGCCCCCTGTCTTAATAGATCAGTTGATCAATGGCTGCAACTGAATGGCTCTACTTTTGACAAGGCTAGAATTATGGCTGTCAAAAGTGAGTTGGGCTCCGCCTGGTTGAGAGCGCTACCCATCACCTCCTGCGGCACTAGATTGGATGACTCCTGTGTTCGCGTGAGCCTTGGTTTGAGACTCGGAGCCCAGATCGTCACCGAATACGAATGCGCATGTGGGGCAAGGGTTGATGAACTTGGATACCATAGCCTTTCTTGTCGTCTGGGTCCTGGAAGACAAGCCAGACATACGGCTGTCAACGAATACCTGGTACGATGTTTTCAAAAGGCTGGTATCCCGGTTATAAAAGAACCCATGGGTTTGATAGAGGAAGGAGCCTTTAGGCCTGATGGTTACACTATCACCCCATGGACTCAGGGACGGTCCCTGGCTTGGGACGTTACCTTACCCCACACTATGGCTGACCGATATATCGGCTACACTTCAGTTGAGGCGGGCACTGCTGCCCTTAAAGCGTCCGATTTCAAAAATGAAAAATACGTTTCATTAAACAATTTAAGCAAAATATTTCAACCCATTTGCATTGAAACGTTCGGACCAACAGATAAACACACATCATTATTTATTAACGAATTAACAAGAAAAATAGTTAATATAACGGGTGATCCTAACGAAGGCAATTATTTAAAACAAACTCTTTCACTTTTATTACAAAAATTTAATTCCTTTTGCATTCTGGATGGAGCTGCTAGATACCTGACTGTGCGAGACCAGGGACATAGATAAAAGTTGAACTCGGAAACGATTGCATGCCTAACCATGGCTTGTTCATCAAAACGGGTTCATACATACATACATACATACATACATACATACATACATACATACATACATACATACATACATACATACATACATACATACATACATACATACATACATACATACATACATACACACAAACACACATACATACACACACATACATACATACAAATATTAATCTAATGAAGGATGAATGAGTGACAGACAGACGATGATGATTTCCATGCAAACACTCCAGCTTTAATGGATGTAGGTTTTAAACTTCCTTATTTGCATTGTCCTCATTCAAGTCGTTCTGTTCAAGTGTACAATACATGTACATAATACATCAGTCTGTTGTTTTTAGAAAATAAAATTAAATACATTTTTTTTAAATTTAAATCTAGTTAAATAGAATTGTTTAAAAATTAGATTTTATGCTGTTTTGTTACACGCGCCAATGGATCTCCCGCTGAATAGCTCAATTAATAATGTAATCATTTATCGTTACACATTACCTATCATTTTTTTTATTTTATATTTATTTTTCTTTTATTGTTTTGTTGTAGTATAGTTATTATTTTTTTCTTTGTTGTGTGTATTTTTTCTAATTTTACTCAACGTATCAGTATCTTTTTATCAGTTCAACAATCGGTGGTTAAATAATCTCATTACATTGCCTCCCCACATTTTATTATGAAACATTTCAAAAGTTGACAGAGCGTGGGGCATGTCATTCTGACTGAACTCGAAATTTTCTTGATGAGGCAGGCAAAACGCCACTTTATGAAGCCCGCGTGGCCGCTTCAAACGATTTAGATTAGTGGTGGTGTTTGATTTTAGATCAGCGAGGAAAAACAAAAACTCAAACATGTCGGTTACACCAGCGGCGCAATCTTGTCAATGTAAATCTATTACAACATTATATGAACAGCCAATATTAATGGAAAAATCATTAAAAGGCAATATGTTTTCCTGAGTTTTACAGCAATTTTATTTTTACATTTAATCAAATTTGCAAAAAGGTGAACGAAAATTTTTCATTATACACGTGCATGGCTGTAACGTGGCTTCAACACCTCAAATGGGTATAAGACCTCTTGAATGTAGGAAGTTTCTTTGAAAGAAAAAAGAAAAATTAAGGTGGTTTTATTTTTTGTTAGTGAGTTTATACGAAGCCCAACAAGATAGTCTTCTGGGTTGTATAAGCCATTAAAATATTCCACTCAACTTTAAGAATGTTGTTATGTTCACAACACGCACACACACTCGCAAACAATAAACACACACAAACAAATCCTCACACATCAAAAATCCTCACACATCAATTCTCTCTCTCTCTCTCTCTCTCTCTCTCTCTCTATCTCTATCTCTCTCTCTCTCTCTCTCTCTTACACACACATATATACATATACATATACTTATATTTATTAAATTTTTTTCCGATAATTTTTTTAATAATCCTCTATTTTTTACGGTCAGCTGTAAGGTTTAAAATTTCCACGCATTTTCCTCGTCATCATCGCCATCATTACTGTCACATCCTAGGATAAGTTTCTGAGTGTGTTTTCATTGCGAATGTCATCTGCATTGTCCTCATCCTTATCGTCATCACCACATCATCATTACATACAAACAACGTCATATCAAATAAAATGAATTAGAATGCCCTCCGCGAACAACATGTTCATATTTACGCCGGGATATTTTATGCCATTTTTAAATTTTTTTGTAATTAAATGGATTTTATTTTTTATAATCAGTCTGTCGGTGATCAACTGCTGGATTAACTCAATTAAAAGTTAGTCCGGAAAGATTTCTATTCAATAATTTACGCCTTTTTTCATGTCATTAATCATTATTTTTTTCTTGAAAATTTCATCTTTAATCTCAATTTTTTCCCTGATTTTTTAATAATCTGCTTTATTTTTACGGTCACGTTTTTTTTAAATTTTTTGAGAAGCACATCGCAGAGCCTACTACGTGTGTTAGAACCATCTGCCTGCTTTTATAACCTCGTTCCTTCTTTTACAGGGAGGAAATCACGACAGGAAATGATTTGCTTTGAATAGCATTTGAATAAATGAAGAAGAGCTTTGAGAACAAACAAACAAAAAACAACAACAAAAAACTGCACAAAATTTTTATAACACACAAACACGTACACACACACACACACACACATACACACACGTGAGTGGATGTGTGTGTGTGTTTATTAGATAACAAGCAAATAGACGCACAAATACTTGCAACACACATGCAAACATTCACGCCCCTCACTTCACCACAAAAACCACCATGTAAATATTTTTATATTTTTTTAAACTAGATATAATATCGACTCTATGATTTTGCACAAAAATCCCACAAAATCCTTAGTATATACAGTACAGCTTTACACACAAATACACACAAACAGACACACACACCTATACACGCAAACAAGCAGGCATACACAAACACATGCACACAAACAAACAGACATACACACATCTTCACCATAGCATTAGTACAGCATCGTTATAAATAAGAAGAACGAAAATGAGATAGACGCAGAAAATGTTTCATACAAAGATTGAAAAATTCTGAGAAACATTTTATGAAACAAAAAGATTTATAGTGAGGAAAGTAGTGAAAAAAATCTAAGACAAACAAAAGAAAAAATTGCTGGAATGCATACAATGAGAACTGGTAGGTGTGTGAAAAATTGTAGGAAAATGTACAAGCCAAACAGCGGATTCGTTAATGGGAACACGTGCATCATAGCCTCACGGTGAAACGATGAACGAACAAATATCAGTCTGAGAGAGAGCAATTAATTTCATTTCAAGTTCCTTTGGAAATTATTCCTAATGCTATTTAAAAAGAAAGTACAATTAGTCGTGATGGTTTTGTATCATTTTTATTTACTATATTCAGATTGATTGTTTGGTTAGCATGTTGCTCAAACGGTAGCAGTGCCAACAGCCTCTCGCGTTGTTGTCACGCAATGACCTGGTTCGAATGCAAACTTATATAATACAACATAACCATTGCATATTTTGTGCTTATAATTCGCTGTTTTGTATCTGTATACACGGTGTGTGTGAGTCGTGGAGTGTGAGTGTGTAAATAATTGTTGTAGGAATGTCTGTTTGACTGCATATGTATGTAGCACGCTTGCAACGACGTGTGAGCACTGAGCAGTTTAACGTCAGTCCTAACTAAATGCCAGAGGACAAAACCAAAAATAGATCTTTCAGGGACTTTTAAACATGTATTAATGTATTAATTTGTGTTTGTTTGCTGCAGCAGTAGTAACTTTTTTCTGCACTGCACATTATTGAAAAATTGGAGTTAACGATAACACTAACAACAGTATTTTTGCTATATTAGAATTTATCAATACTGCTGAATGCACGTAACGGTGTGAATTGAAGCCAGTTAGAGTTGGTCTGTAGCACAAGCAGTTCTTGCATATATACTTCATATTTTTAGTCGTAGTAGTAGTGGTAGTAGTTGCACTATAATGGTAGTAGTAGTAACTGAAGTAATAGTTATAGTATAAACGTAATCAAGAGAGTGAGAGAACGTTTTATGCCGAAAACCATTCCTCATTATCTGGCAATGACACAACAGAGAACAACGACAATAACAAAGAACAACAACAACAGAGAACAACGACAACAGAGAACAACGACAACAGAGAACAACAACAACAGAAAACAACAACAACTCGTGCACGGACACTCAGTTACAAACATGACACACAACGACTTTTTCCATATAGAATTTCCCAATTTGAGATTGGTGTCGAATCATGTACGTTGATAACAGTTGTTGTGTATTAAAATGAGAACGTGCCGCGTGAACGTGTGAACAGGACGACAAACCTGAAAACACGCAAACATAAACAAGAACGAACACACGTACACACATACGAACATAACTTTTCCAGTTCAACCTTGAATTAATGCAGAGTTTTTGTAGGAGCTTTTGGCAAATTGTTCAACATTCTGTTGGATCACTCTAACTTGACGCACAACTATCCAATAACCAAAGCAAAGACTCCATCTCACACATATTTAAATGTGAAAAAACTAATAGTGAAAGAAACTTGCATTCTCTGCATAGCAAGATGAACGAAAATTTTAAAACTCGTGATAATATAAAATCAGTTGATAGTCTTTCTTAAAGAATTGGGCTGTTGCGCCGGAAGCTAATTTCAAGACAGAAGTGATGCTTAGTAGCAAGAATGAAAGAATAAAGAGATAAAATGAAAAAAAAAATTAAACAAGATTAATAAGTATAATTTATTTTCTGAATCGGAACAGGGCACACAATGGCACCATTGGGGAACTAAAGCGTCGTTAAGCAGGAATACAAAAACAACAATAGGAACTACTGCAACAACAATAACTGCAACAACAATAACTGCAACAACAATAACAGCAACAACAATAACAGCAACAACAACTACAACAACTACAGCAACAACAAGAACAACAATATTTTTGTAGGAGCAACAGAGCTTGTGTTTGCGCCCTTTATATTTTCTATTATGTTGTGTTATGTGATGTTGTGTTATGTGATGTTGTGTTTTGTTATGTTGTGTTATTTTAAATTATGTTATGTTATCTATACGAACACACGTACAAACATACAAGTCTACAACAAACAAACAACAAATAAACATTATGTAAACATGCAAATAAGAAAAAGAATATAGTGATAAACCTTACGAATACAGCCATAATAAAAAAATAATTTTTTTTGTTAAATTTAACTTAATTTACCAGCTAACAAATCTCAACAAGTTTCTTCTTTTTGTTAAATTGAGCGCTAATTAAATTTTAATTTAATTTATTGCCAAAAGAAAAACACACAGGAGAAAGTGAAACCTCTTCAGAGTGCTTTCCAATATTATTTTGAAATTGGAAAATTTAATTGCCATAAAAAATTATACCATTTTTGAGGCGCACTGCATGCTTCGAGAACAAAATCCTTGATGACGTCAGCCTAAATAATAATATTAACAATAACAACAACAACAACACAACAACAAACCTCAGTGCAATAGAACCCGACAGATGAAATGTATTTTAGAGAAACTTTGAATCATGGTAATGATTGGTAATGTATTGCTGTTTGTTCCGAGAAGTCACATTCTCCACTGAGTTTTAAGAGCTATATCATAAATATAAATCATGATAAGATTTTATTTATAAATTTAAATTTTGTGTATGCGTGTATTTGTATTTGTGTGTTTAGTGTCATGTGTTTGTGTGTGTGTTTGTTTGTGTGTGTGTGTGTGTTTGTGTGTGTGTGTGTGTTTGTGTGTGTGTGTGTGTGTTTGTTTCATGGTTTGTTTTTAAAAATAAATAGACAAATAATTAGATTTGAATAGGAATGTCAGAGTGGGCAGTTTGGAGAATGAGCTGAAGACAAGCGCATCTGGCCAACTGCTTCCCATTATAATTTACAATCTAATTACAACATAAACATCATTTTTCACAACAACATCAGTTACTAGAACATCAACAACATCTCTAACAACAACATTACGTACTACAACATCAGCAACATCATTTGCAACAACATCCCTCACAACAACATTAAAAATAAATTAAGACCAGCCAGCGACGTTCTTCGCGGCATAGCGTCGGTTCAAAAGTTCATGACCCTGACCTTATTTTTTGACCCTAACCCACGTTTTTCCTCATCAAGTCAACACACAGGAAGCAACAACAACAACAACGCAACAACATTATAAATTACAAACGTCGTATGGGTGGCGTAGAGGGCATTCTTATCAATTTTAAAAGAAAATTGATTTTTTTTCTTAGAAATGTTTTAAAAAAAATTTTTCTTGGAGAACATTATTTTATTAATTATTAATTGATTAATGAATAATTGAATTAATCAATCAATAAATGTATTTATTAATTAATTTATTTACTAATAACAAAATTGACAGTAACTGTACATTAGTATGTCAAAAAATAATTGTAGAGTGTTTTGAATCAAACACAGACTATCCATACACTCGGTTAAAATTAAATGAAATAAAAAGTCAAATTAAGTACTGCTTTCCAACCGGCGATTTAAAAGTTCGTACACCCAAACGTCATGCCGTGCTCACGAGCTTCAAAACATTGTCACATTTTTTGCGTAGACTGTATTTGAAGCAGGTTGGTGTGAAAAATCAAAGCCAGACATGACACTTCTACCGTCTGAGCTAATGTTCTAAATTTTGGGTGGTGAAAATATGACAAAATTTTAATAAAAAACAACAAAAAAAACAAAACATGAAAAGTTTTCTTATTTTTTTTCATTTTTTTTTGGTTTTTTTGTACTCAAATATTTTTATTGCGTGGGTAGGTATAAAAAAGAGAAGGTCATTGTTCACACTTACATACATGCACATGCACATGCACCCACCCAACCACTCAGCCACACACACACACACACGCACACACACACACACACGTGTATACACACCACAAACACACACACATGTATACACACCACACACACACACACACACACACCATACATATTCACTAACTACACACACAATCACACACACATATATATATATATACTCACTACACACACACACACACGCCTCACGTACACTATGCACACCCACGCACACATATATACAGCACACACACTCATCCACACACACACACACGCGCGCACGCACACACACACATCTACATATTTAATTCGCACAAGATCAATCATAGTTTTTGTACGCAGTCCCAAACAAGAAGTGTGCACGCCGAAAAATGA